GGTATCGATACTAGATGAACAATACCGATACTTCAAAGCGAAATTAGGCAATAATTGGGATTGGGTATCGATACTGGATGAACAATATCGATACCATAAGCTTAAAGTTGACAAGTCCTTTATGAGGTATTGATACCGAAGTAGTAGCATCGATACTAAGGGTGTCGATAACAATGTATATATATCGGTACCATTTTTAGAATTGAAATTCCAGAACCGAGAATGGGTATCGATATTGAAGTATAGTATCGATACTATAAGTAAAGAAGTATCGGTATTGTACCTTGGGTACCGATACTATTAAGATTAAAATGGAGAATTTAGTGCTTCGTTTAGCTTATGTTATTAAAGATTGATTAAAGTGATATGAATTTTAATATTTATACCAATCATATTATTGTGTAGATATCGATCGAAAGCAAGTTCAGGACGATCCTAAGGCCTAAGACCAATTAAGAGTGCTAAGTGTTTTGTTTGACAAATGAGGCCAAGGTAAGTGCATACTACTATGAATATGGTGTTTTATGGAAATGAGACTTGCGATGAGTTTGTTTCCAATGTTTTAGTTTCATGACTCCATGAGTACAAGCATATTGTTGATATGGTTTCTATGTGTGTATGAATACAAGCATATGCAATGTTATACATGAGCTATGTGTTACATGTTATCCTATGTTTTAAATGATAAGCTAATGGTCCATGTGATAAACTATGTGAAATGTTATAAAAGGTAAAGCCCATAAGTATATGATATGAGAGCTAGGGGTATAATTGGCATGCCAAGAGTCGATGGTTCTACGCGGTCCTTCAGGACAATTCTACGTGGTCCTTCGGGACATTTCTACACAGCACTTCAGTGTAATTTATACGAGCTGTGGTGACAACATTAGTGCACAACCTCAATGCACTCACATACATTCAGCTCTCAGAAATGTACCATGGGCTATTAAAGAAATAACATGAATAAATATTGTTAGATATTATATGCTTTTATTTGGTGTATTGCATGATTATCTCTGTACTACATGATAATTATAAATGTTAAGTATATGATTTCATGTTTCAATGTTTCATTTATTCATTATGTGTCTCACTAAGTCTGTGACTTAGGGTGCGAGTGTTTCACACGTAGGTTCAAAGAAACAGGAGGAGAAAAGCTAAGATCAAACAAGACAGCCTACCTAGACAAGAAGATTAAATCAGAAACAACCTATACAGTAGGTGATTTTGTAGTATTAAGGTGTTTGCATGTAATTAAAGTTTTGAATAACATATGCTATGATCATTTTTGTAAACATGTACTACTATATTTATGTAAATAATTGAGTTTTAAATTTCAATATAAGCCAAATTTTGTACATTTACTTTTAAGCAAAGGTTTTACCATTTCATTTCAAAAGTATGCTTAAATGTCAACTACCATTTTAAAAAGTAAATGTTTTGTAAAGTCAAGTGACACCCCGGATACGTATTAGGGTCGGATACGTGTTGGGGTTGTTACAGACACAACAATCTGTTTAGAATCAACATTACATTATGCCTTTAATTTCAAAGGAAATATATTCTTCTGTAAACTTCTTCAACCTCAACATTAAAATTCCATCGACACAACAATCTATTCTAACCCCATATGACATTATGCCTTCAAGTTCAAGGGGAAGATATTCATATACCAACTTGTTGGACCTGAACATCAGATTGGCATCCACAAATGAGACAACAAATTATTCATATCCACCAGAATAACCACTGAGTGAGTCAGATGCAAATGGTGTTGAGATATGATTATTCGTTGAAGCATAATCACCTTAATTTAACATGGACTCTGATGATGGTGTAAAATAAGTTACCATAAATATGACACAAACTGAACCTCTAACATATATGTATGAAATGAACATTGATGCATTGTACGAACTATAATTTCTAGATATGCCTAATATTGGAGACTATGGATATAACTCATTAATCAATGATGGTGAGTTATTTATTGGAATGGAGTTCTCATCCAAAGATGAAGAAATGATTGCAATTAAGAATTATAGTATTCGTAATTCAGTTCACTCCAAAGTCAAATGATCTACTAACAAAAACTATGTTTACCATCGTGCCAAACGTGATAACGGATGTAATTCGATGGCTCGTGTATTAAAGAGAAAGATAAAGAAAAACATATAAGAACTAACAAGATACAACAATCCTTAAACATGTTGTGCAAGACGAATCAAATAGGACCATCCTAACTTGGATTCTAGCATTATTTGCTAAGTCATCATGCTCATGGTCAAAATAAGCTCTCATATAATGATTGTAGTGCTGATTTTTGCTATAAAATCACAATATGGTTACACATTTTCCTACAAAAAACCACGGAAGACAAAATAGAATGTCATTTTAAAACTTCACTGCTAGTGAGATTCTTCTTACGATGAGCTGCCAAGTTGGTTTAACATAATACAAAGACTCAATCCTGGGATAATAGTTGAGTTTGAAACTTTCCAAGCGCGAGAATGATTGAGTGTTCCAAGATATCAATTCTTCGTTTTTTAGACTTACCCATAGTGTATTAATGCGATGAAATATTGCAAAGGTAATCCAAATTGATGGTACCTTCTTGTATGGAAAATACAAGTAAGTTTTATTACTGAAAATTGTCCAAGATGGTAACCAATACATTATTCCCGTTGCATTTTCCCTTGTTGAAGGGGAAAATACAGAGTCTTGGGCTTTTTTTCATCAGAAATTTGCACTTATATACTCTTAAGGGGGATGATATATGCATCATTTCAAACCATAGAGTTGGGATCAAAGCATCATTGAACTCTTTGGGTAGAATGTGGAAACTCCCACATATCCAACACCGTTATTGTATACGACATATTACTGCAAACTACCATGGAAAATTTAGAAAGAATGATGAATGTCAATTAATTATACGCATGGCAAGTTACTTTTTTTCAATTTCATTTCTCAATCATTTTTATTTTATTTATTTATACTTGTTACTAACTAGTACATATGGCTTAGGTTACGGAATCTTACCTCAAAGGTTTGAGTTTATGCTTCAAGAGTTGCAAGAAAAAAATGAACAAGGCTATAATTATATTAGAACCGTCAACAAAGAAATATAGACAAATGCATACGATAGGGGATATTGATATGATCATATGACAACCAACTTGGCTAAGGCTATCAATTCAACCTTAAAGGGGGCGAGTCATTTACCTATTATTGATTTGGTTAAAACTACATATTTTCATTTAGGTAAGCTTTTCACGAAGCTCGAGGGACAAACTCTTACTTGGATGAAAAACAACCATGTTTATTACCCAAGATTAGTAGCAGACTATAGAAAAAAGTTACAGCATCAAATGGAATATTGGTAACAAATTTTTATCGCTCCCATAAATTATTTCGTGTAATAAAGATGCCACAACCTCTTCAAGGGATTGAATCTAACTCTTTCAGAGTTAATCTACAAGAAATGTGGTGTGATTATGACTTTTTTCAAGTTCTAAAGTATCCATGCTCCCATATTATAGCAGTTTGCTCACATTTGTAATTGAACTATAAAAATTATGTTGATCTCATCTAACAGCTTTAACAAGTATTCAAGGTATATGAATTTGAGTTCCCATAGGTAAGGAAAAATACCCAAATGAGATCCAAATTTGGCTTACAATTATACCAGACCCGTTTTTATTAAGGGAACCAAGTCATCCAAAATTCACTCGAAATCATTATGATATGGATATTCGACATATATCAAAAGAATCCAAAATATGTGGGCATTATAGAAACCTACGCCATAATAGGAGAAAATGTTAATCTCTTTTATCATCTCTTAATCGTGGACCAATTATGTAATTGTAATTTTCTGATATTAAAATTTATGTTATTTTAATTTCTAATACTATATTTTCTAATATTCTATTTTATGTAATTCTATTTTATATTTTTTCATATAAATATTAAGGATTTATATATTTTATTTTAATTAGAGTTTACATTCTACTATTTACGTTAATATAGGGTTTTAGTTTTATAAATTATGATTTTTTAGGGTTAAATGATTACACTTTAGAGTTAAAATTTTAAGGTTAATGATTTATGATTTATAAGGTTTAACATTTATGATTAAGGGTTTATATATAACTTAATGTCTAGGGTTTATTATTTTTGGTTAAGGGTTTAGTTATTAGGGTTATAGTTTAGGGTTATTTGACCTTCAAAAACCATAAACCAGATTCTATAATATTAACCCTAAAATTAGAAGGGATTTAATTCGAAAGACTTGCCTTGTAGGACATGACCCCGAGTTGGCGCATAGAATCCCTCAAAGGCTCATCCTATAGGATGCGCCTCCTAGCTGGCGTTCCACCTGAACTAAAACCCGGGAAAAGTTCGCCTCCCAGAACGTTGCCACGTATGCAAGGCACATTTCACATAACGCACCTCTTTACCTCGATTTCAGAACAAGTGCTACTTTGATTTCTTGGGTGATATTTGGATAAAAAAAACCCTATCTTAACGATATAATTATACTTGTGTTAATAAAAAAAATATACTTGTTGTATATGTATGATACATAGGGTAAACTATGCATTTAGTTGCTTAATTATCACTTTTATTCCATTTTAATCACTCAATTATATTTTTTAAATTATCACTAGCGTTATATTTTGGTCGTCCTTTGTTAAAGAATTAACAATGATGTTGATGTGTAAACATAAAATAATACTATATCATCATTAAAAAATAAAAATATCACATCAGTAATTCTATTAACTTGTAAACTTTGTGTGACCAAGATAAAACTTAAACGTAACGTTAGTGATTATTTTTTTTAAATAATTAGATGATTAAAATAAAATTAAAATGATAATTGAATAATTAAATGTGTGATTTATCATGATATTTATCATATTTTAATAATACGAGATGGTCGAAAATGTAATTTAAATAAATAAATAATTTTTAAATTGATTTATATCTATTAGGTGAAGATTCTGAGGAACAAGTCTTACTGGTACAATAACTATGGATCAGTTGTTACTATTGATCAGGTAATTATAGTCCTTTTATCTCTTATTCATATATATTTATTTTCGTATGTAATAGTCCTTTTATATTCATGTTTTAAGGAATTTTAAAAATAACTTAAACTTTGTTGGTTATATATTTAATAATGTAAAGAAATAAATCTGTTTTACTTGAATTTTTAATTTTTAATTAATTAAAATTTAAAGGTTGAAATAATGGGAAAATTAAGATTTTTAGGAGTTTTTTTTACTGTTTTTTCTCCACATTTTACCTAAATATTCTCATTTTTTAGTTATAAAATGAGTCTCTCTCTCTCTCTTTCATTTCTTCATTCTCCTTTCTTCTTCTATATTTTCTCTCTTCACAAATCATAGCGAAGTTTTTCTTTTTTCGATAGAATTTATTCTAAATAAAATATTTTCATTTCTTCCAGAAAAGAGCAATACTATTCCGAATTCCACTTCATTATTTCGGGTGTATGAAATTCTTCAGAGTCCGTTAACCTTGTGGGGCAACGTCCATTTTAGGGATTTCACCAGTTTGGGTGAAATTGCTTCTAAGGAAGTGACTATATAACACATTAAATTATTTATTATTTATTTATCTTATTTTTTCAGTCAGTACTAATATTTTGTTTTGCAGTAAGTTATTTTCCAACAATTTAGAAGCAATTTACCAATTTACTTACAACAAACACATGACTCTAACAAACAAGTTAATCCCTGATCTTTCCAAACTTAAACCGTTGGATGGAACCAACTACCATCCCTGGTTTCAAAGAATGATGATTTTCTTTGAGAAATTAGAGGTTGATTATGTCTTATGTGATGCCCTCACAATCGATGAAAATGAAGAAACTCTTGATGTTCCCAAGATAATGCATCCAAAGTCAAACACAAGAAGGATAACAAACTAGTAAGGGATAATATGCTTAGTCAAATAGCTAACAACCTCTTTGTCTTGTTTGTTAAAGACAAACCTGCCAAGTCTATCTGGGATACTCTACAAATGAAGTACAGAGATAATGATGTCGGAATCAAGAAGTATGTCGCTAGAAAATAATTAAAGTTCCAAATGATCGAAGATAAACCCATCATGAACCAAGTACATGTCTAAGAAAGGCTTGTCTCTGACATCCTAGTTGAAGGAATAAAAATGTGCGATATTCTCCAAGTGAATATGTTGATCGAAAAACTACCCAAGTCATGATCTGACTATCAAAACATTTTGAAGCACAAAAAATAAAATATGTCCTTAGAAGAGATTATATGCCACATGAAAATCGAGGAAGAAAACCACCTTAAAATTAAGCATTATGTTTCTAAAACTGAATTATCTTTTAAGGTTAATCTCTTGGAATCTTTCTCTGATGTAAGTCATAACAGGTTCAAGAATTCTTCCAATCTAAAGAAGAAAAGTAACTCCCAACCAAAGAAGGAAATCAACTTCAAAAAGATGGGAACCAAACATATGTTAAACAACCCGATGAGTTGCTACGTATGTAGAAAGTTAGGACACAAAGCATACCAATGTTTTCTCTGCTCTAATTACCATAGTCATCATAATAATAAAAAAAAACCACAAGTAAACTTGATCAATAATCCATACGAATTGATTGTTGATGTGCTATATGAGGTTAATTTCGTGGAAAATCACACTGAGTGGGTAGTGAACATGGACACTTCCAAACACTTCTGTGCCAATAGAGAAATATTCACCGAGTTTGAAGATGTAGGTAAAGGTTAACAAGTCTACATGGCAAACTCTAGCAATTTATAAGTACTCAGTAAAGGAAAGATCTTACTAAACTTACTTTTGGAAAAAAACTATAACTCTACAACTATTTTGTATGTTCCTACACTACATAGAAATTTTATTAGTGATGGAATCTTGAATAAGATAGGAATTAAATTAATATTTGAATATGATAAACTTGTATTATGTCATAATGGTGATTATGGGGGAAAAGATATTTATGTGGAGGGTTTTTTGTGATTGAAACTAACTAATGTTATGAATAAGACATCTACTTCCACTTATACCATTAAGACTTATGATATGTGACATGCTAAATTAGGCCATGTGAATATTCACTCTTTAAAAAGGTTAAAACAAATAAACAAATTCTCTTATTACTAAATTTTTCACCATTCATGTTTTATTCACTTTACCTTCCATTCACAATTTGTTGGTGCATCATATAGATGTGAAAAAAATCTTTTTGAATAGTGATTTGGATGAGGGGATTTATATGGAGTAACCTCCAAGATTCGTGGCACCTGAGAAAGGAAATAAAGTTTGCATAACAAGATACAAAACAATGGTATGAGAAATATCATAAAACTATTTTCAATTATGATTTTATAGCTAATGGTGTTGATGCATGTGTGTATTCTAAAATGTTTGAATCTAACTACGCTATCATAAGTATGTAAGTAGATATCTTATTGATTTTAAATACACACCTAAAAGACATTAAAGAGACTAAAGATTTTTTATCCATTAAATTTGAAATGACTGCTTTGAGAGTAGTTGATGTAATTTTAGAGATAAAAGTGACTAAATCATATAAGAGATACTTGTTAAACCAATCTCATTACATAGAGAAAGCTTTAAAAAAGTTTAATAGTTTTGATGTAATCCCTGTAAGTACCACTTATGATACTAGCATTTAACTGAAAAAGAATTAATGGAATAATATCTCAGAATCTAAATATGCAAAGATTATTGGAAGTTTAATGTTCTTAATGAACTATACTCGACTTAATATTACTTATGTTGTTAGTTGATTATGTAGATATACTCACAAGTTTAGTACTGAGCATTGGAATGCTCTTAATCATTTACTTCGATACCTTAAAGGTACAATAAATTATGAACTTTGGAATGCTCTTAATCGTTTACTTAGATACGTTAAAGGTACAATAAATTATGAACTTAAATTCTTTGGATACCTTACAATCCTTGAAGGATATTGTGATGTAAATTGGGTAACTAGTAATGATGAAGTAAGGTCCACTAGTGGGTGTATTTTTACTTTAGGTGGAGCAATTTTTCTTAGAAGTATGCAAAATAAACGTGTATTGCTCGCTCCACCATGAAATCAGAGTTCATTACTCTTGATTTAGTTGGGCAAGAGGCCAAGTGACTTAGAAATCTACTTGTAGAGATTCCTTTATGAGGGAGACATACACCTCCAATGTATTTATTACGTGACTCATAAGTCACAATTTGTGTCACTAATAATAAATCTTACAATGATAAGAAGAGTCACATCAAGATAAGACATGAATCTGTGAGACATCTTATAAAGATTAGAGTAATAACTTTAGAGTACGTGAAATGTTAAAGGAACCTTGTTGATCCCTTATCTAAAGGATTATGTAGAAAAATGGTTCTTGATTCATCCATGGGGATAGGACTTACACCCATTGCATTAGTAATTCATATTGTAAACTCCTACCATCCCTATGACGTATCGTGTACACTTGAGAGGTTGAGTTTTATACTCTCAATGAATCCATAGTCTAGGATTTGGTTGTCTTAGTGAGATGGATTTAATGGATACACCGATTTATAAGGTTGAGTTGTACACTTTTAATGAATCTATAGCTCAAGTTTGTGAGTGATCGTAGTGAGAGAAACTTGATGAATTCACTGAACTTATAAATGAGAAATTGATCTTAATAAAAGCTCTTAATGATTTTATAGCCCTAATTCGGGTGGTCTATATTGAGATAGACTTAATGAAATCACCTACGTAAGTGTGAAGGAGTAATCACCTTCTATGAAAGACTTTAGATTGTCTTTCTAGAGCACTTATGAGCATCCTGAGGTATTATTTGACAAAATGTTTGAATTACCACAAAACTCAAATAAATCTGAGGGTGGTAATGTGTTATGAGTTAACCCTAATTTTAACAAGTTCAAGATTCATTCACTTTTAAAGAGAAGAATTACTTATTCCACTATGCAATAATTCAAAAATCTAACAGATACTAGTGCTTAAGCAACTAATTGCATCGTTGCTCTTTTCTTTTAATTCTTTTGCAAATTTATACTTCTTTGCATTAGTTTGTTTGTTATATATATAATAATGTAAAGAAATAAATTTGTTTTGCTTTAATTTTAAAATTTTAAATAATTTTAAATTTAAATGTTGAAATAATGGGTGAAGTTAAATATTTTGGGAGATTTTTTTGCTGATTTTTCTCTTTACAATTTTACCTAAATACCTCATTTCTTTGCTATAAAATGAGTCTCTCTCCATTTTCAACTTATTCATTTCTTCATTCTCCTTTATTCTTCTATATTTTGTCTATTCACAAAGCATATTGAAGTTTTCTTTTTTCAATAGAATTTACTCCGGATAAAATAATTTCCTTTCTTTCATAAAAGAGAAACATAATTCCGAGTTTCACTTCCTTATTTCAAGTGTAAAAAATTTGGAAGACTGTGTTAACCTTGGAGGCAACGTTCATTTTAAGGATTTTACCAATCCAAACGAAATTGCTTCTAAAACAACACAATAATATCATTTAAGCTTTATTTATTTATCTTACTTTTTCCAATCTGTGCTAATCTTTTGTTTTACAATAAGTTATTTTTCCAACAAGGTTTCCAACTAGAAGTGTAGAAAAATATATAGAGAATTAACTTTAGTTTTTCGGGCAACATTAAGTTTAGAATTTTCAGTATGGTATTTATTACATATTTAAAATAAGATAAACTATATATTTAATCATCCAATTATATTTTACAATTTCATTTTGATCATTAAAAAATCATACCTAAAATCAAGTTCGGGTTCCGTTTTGTTCATCCGTCATTAAAAATTAACAGTGATGTTAACATGTCATTGTTAATGATACATCATCATTGAAAAATAAAATAAAAAATTTACCACATCAGAAATTTTATTTAGTTTTAATGGTGGATGGCCAAAATAAAATCAAAATGTAACTTTAGATATGATTTACAAAAAAATGATTGAGTAACCAAAACAAAACCACAAGAATAATTAGATGATTAAATATGTACTTTACCCTCAAATTATATATAAGAATATGTACGTATTTTCCGATATTTTATTTGCAGTATTATTTTATAAAATTTTAATAATTAATTAGTATAATCCTTTTGTTTTTATATTTTAAAAATATAAGTAAATTTTAATTATTTTGTAGATTATCTTTTTTAACATATAAACAAAAAATATGTTTACATTATTTTTATTAAAATATTATGTATTAAAAAAATTAGCTGATCCTATTCTCATATGTAATGAGATAAGAGGGAGGTGGGGTAATAGGCTTCCCCCAACGCAAGGTTGTGAGCAGCTTCCGTGAAAGACCTCCGTTATGAATTACCTTCAATGAGATTCGATCTCACGACCACAAGGTTAAAAGCCTTACGCTCTACCAATTGAACTAGACGATCAATTCAAAATATATAATATGATTAATTAAAACACTAGGTAGCAAATTTTATAAAGAGAGATGTATAACTATTCATACAATTAAAAATGTATAATACTTCATATTTTTTGAATAATTATTGTGTTGCAAATGCATAAT